GAATTTCTACTTCTACTTATTAAGCCATTGTTGAAAAAAAAATGTTATTTTTATCTCCAAACTTAATCCAATCAACTCTAGCCTTTTGAGCCCAAAATATCTCTTTCCCGTTTTGGGATGTTATCAAATTGGATTTGGAGGGCACAGTCCAAATTCATTAAGGCTCTGCCATTTGGATTTCAAAAATATTTCTAAAGTGATCCTTATTCCACCTCTTGATATTTTGAACCAAACGATTCCCTTTTTGAATAAATTGCATAGCTTAGGAACTTGAGGTATCTAGGTTCCAGGACTACAATACCACATCAATAGAACTTTGGGTCCTCACACCACATAGCTTCAAACCTGAAGGGTTTGAGCCCAAACTAATTAAGGCATTCAGTATTTATTCATCCTCCTGAGTACTATTTTTGTCCAAGTAAATAATACATTAAATGACTCCTTATTTATAATTAAACTAATAATTAATAAGCCTCATAAAATTGTAGTATAATAATGTCCTCAAAATCCACATTAAATGTTATTGCTTAACATTTTATGTATTCCAACCAACTTTATGAACTGATCACTAACATGGCCAAAACATATTGGGTTTGGGCCAAAAAGAAAACATCAAAACTATAAAAAAAAAAAAAAAAAAGAAAAAAGACTATCAATTGGGCCTTCAATGGGCCTCAGTCTAACATGGCCTGAGATCAGGCTAAACATGGGTTTTGGTTACAAGTGCTTAGAATTTTGCTACTGGCTGAGGGTCATGGGCTTGGTAGGAAGATTTTACATATAAACCAGATAGTTGGTTGGTTATAAAAGGTTGATAGTTCAACTGGGTGGAAGTTCTTATTCTTCTTTTTTCCATCACAGCTCATCAGTGGTGAGCTAGCGATTATGGTATATCAACTCATCGGGTAATTGGCACCTAAGAAAGCCTAGATACGTAACTGGTGGGCCTAAAAAGGTCCAAGCCCAAATTTGCTCAATTTCGTTAATGCCCAAGCCCAAATCCACTCCCCCAATGGGTCCCACATCCCCCCCCCGCCGGTTGGCCACCCATTTGCAACGCTAAAAATGATTGAGCAAGTTCAATGAATTGCTTGAGCTGTAACTACCTTTTAGTAAAACCAATGTTGTCAGACTTGGACCGGACATAAAACCATGTTGGTGATTGGATTTTGGGTCAAACAGTTTGACCATCTATTTATCATTCAAGTTGTTCAAATAAAAAATAAAAAAAATGAAAATGGTTCTAAATTATCCTTGAATCTTTTTACATTAAAGTAAACATAAAACAATAAATATTAAAAGGGTAATGGCCTTTATAACACCTACTTAAAATATATAAATTGGGTGAATCCCAAAAAAAGTACATATAAATAAAATATAGCCAATAAATAAATATTTTTAGTAATCAAGAATTAAAATATCAATACGATATGTTTTATATCGAGCATATCATATCCCTATCAATGCACCTAGATATGCGTAGATAAACTGATAGCAGGGCTTTTAAAAATTTGAAGTTTGTGATGACAACTCTAATGCTAATACAATAAAAAAACTAAAAGAAAACCAAACCACCGAATTGGCTGCAAGTTCCCAGTTCTGATGGTCCAACCGTTTGGTCCGGTCGAAGTCCAAAAAACACTGGGTTTAAACATTGAAGTGCAAGTGGGAGGACAGTAATCACAATGACAATGGGGTCACATTGATAACTGGAATTGAGATCTCATACCTTCCTTCACTATGTCATCACCACCTTTCAGGTGGTGGAAAAGCCTGGACCTTATTCTGAGAAAAGCCTTAATGGCCGCTGTCTTCTAATTCTGATGGATGCTTAGAAGAAAGAAAGCCCAAGACATAGGACATTCTCATCTGAAAGGCTGAAACCATGAAGGTCATTTCTTAATGACACATTATCCCAAAAAAGTAGAAAAGTAAATATTCTTTTGAATCGCCATTGAATGCCATTCGATGTTGTCTGTCATTCAACCTTGAGCTTTTCCAAGTATTCTTAGCTGTTAAAGCTAGTTTTATTTATTTTTAGGGAAATTGTCTAAAATTCATCATGAATTTTTAGCATTTCTCTTAAACTCGCCATAACTTTTCAAAATGATCGGGGAGCCCCATGTCAGTGAGTTTTTATTTTCCAAATCTCACCATCCCTTAGAGCATCGTTAATGTACATCTACAGAAGTTGTCCACAATTCCACATCAACATAAATACAAATGTCATGACCAAACTGCCCCTGAATGGCAAGTTAGCTTTATTAAACATATTTTTATGATTAAAATGCCATTAAACGCCCAACTGCCTTATATATAAGATTTCTACTCGTTGAGAGATGTTTTGCTCTCATTGTGATGCTTGAAAGTATTACAAGGAAGCTGAAAAATGGGTTTGGGGTGGAATAATAACAGGGATATTTCTGAAATATTGAAAAATGAGTTGAATATAACAAAGGGTAAAATGGTAATCTACTAACACCCATTAGTCTGTTTAACGTCAAGTTACCAACATGTGGTTCCCTAGACGTTTTGAAAAGTTATGGTAAGTTTAAGATAAATACTAAAAATTCATGGTGAATTTTAGACAATTTCCCTTATTCTTATGCTTTGATAATTGTAAGGCCTATTATCTGGTTCTGTTGAGGATGATGCTGCTGTGCTAATCTGGGATTATGCCTGATCAACCTCATTTTGAAGTTCCCAACAACTGCTAAAGTATTAGTATATCAGTATAACCTGTTGTTGACCTTGCCGGTTGGACTGGTGACCTAGTGGCCCAGTCATGGTTCTGCTTCCAATCAACCCATAACCTACCATTAAGGCCTCATTTATTTTGTATTATTCAGGCAAGGTGTTTTCCAAGCAAGTGATTCATGGGGAAATGCTACCCAAGTAATCACAAATACAATGTTCGGCTTGGCTAAAATTACCTAGATAAGATGCAAAAAAATAAGGCAATTGACATTTTCGACAAGTAGGTAAGTAACTTATTCACCCTCCAGGAGAGTATATTGATTATTACCTGGATATAACCAATACTTTCTGGGAAAAAAAATTTACAATGGCCTCATTGTAACGGTAGCCAAACACGAGATTATTACATTTCCATGGGACTCATGGTTCGATTAACTGAACCGTTGGCCTATTTTTGAAATTGAACCGGGGTTACCGGTTTTTTGAAAACCGGTAATCAAAACCAAACTGAAGCCAGCTGATTAATCGGTTGACTGGTTTGGTTCATCGATTTTTCAGTTTTTTTATATTTACAATATATATTATGAAAAAATATAAATATATGTTTTTATATATAATGCATATTTATTAATTTATAATATATAGAAAATATAAAATATATCTAATATACATAAATATATGTATACCGGTCGATTTGGTTAACCACCGATTTTCTATATTGGTTAACTGAAACCGAACTGGTACCTTCAGTTTTTTAAAAAATATCAAACCGACCAATTCAGTTAAGCGGATTTTCAATTCAGTTTCGGTTGGTTTTTCGGTTCAATTCGGTTTTTCATTGCTCACCACTAACGGCTTGGCCAACAACCCATTTGACTGCTCCACCGGGCTAATGGGGTTTTTATATTGTTTTATTTTATTATTTTTTAAATTCTCTTATATTGTTATAATATCATAGCTTAACCCATTGATCTAAACGGTTTAACAATTAACATTGTATATGAGAATCTTCTCTCTCATTTTTATGGGCTGGGCTACCATTATCGCTGTGGGGCCTCAGTAAGGACAAAAGTTCCAATTAAATGGCTTTGGCCTAAGGACAAACCTTCTCTGTCCACTAATACCATGCATGCATGAGCCTAAGCAAAACTTGAATGACCCATTCCATGTACTCTCTCCCTCTCTACATTGACTATCTATCCATCCATCTAGCTACCTAGCTCAGCCTCAGCCCAATCCAAGTGGTAACTGTTGCAGCAGGACAAAGGGTTGGCTTTCAAATGGACAAAGAGGTTGGATTAGATGGAATCTTGCATAGACAAGCCTTTTCTCCATTGTCCAATTTATGATTCCCACTGTATCTACATGTTTCTCTCTAATATCAAGAATAATGTTACTGTGACCCTAGGATTGACATGAAAGGTAAACAGTAACCACAAGTATCGTTGTTAGAGGAAGTAATAGACTATACACCTTTTGCCATAGTTTAAAGGACAATCTCCTCAGTCCTCAACAGTTTTCTTTTCTTCTTTTTCTTTCCCCAGTTCAACTTTTAACACATAAAGTCTTCCTACACAGTTCTCTTGTTCCTTTCACTGTACCAGCCTATCAGGTTAGATAATCAGACTGTGTTAGATTCTAACCTCTCTACATATAACATTGTAGCCAAATGTGTTTGATGGATCAACCAGTACTACCACATAATGTAATGGTACTAGCTAGCCAAAAGTTTTCATGAATATTAACTAATTATGCACATATCTAAACAAATTTTAGGGTCTTTACCAAAATGTTGGCCCTAGCTCTATCTGGGGTGGACTGGGTACAGATCTAACCTTGGGCATTTTCTTGTATGAAGTGGCCGCTCTCAAACTCAAAACCCATGTTTTTTGACTTAGATACATTTGATGGGTGTTGAGCTCAATCATACAACTTGAGGAGAAAGTGATGTAGCAACCGCTTCCCTGCACAGACTGCCTTGGGGAGCCACATATGTACAAATTACGAAGTTAAAGTTTCAGACATGATGGCCTCCGCAGCTTTGTTTGAACCATCTCCTTTGCTGCATCACATGGAGGTGGACTAATATAATAGGCAATCTTCTAAAGAAGGAATTAATGACAATACATGGTCGTGTACAGTATTGACAAGTGGAATCCCCTGTCCAACTGGTTGCCAGTGAGCACCATCCACATGTTACAGAACAAGAGGGAGTAGAAGAGATGCCTAGAACTGATGGGTGATGCTGTCATTTCCCTAAAGTAAAAGAGCACCCCTATCCTTTTGTTTCACCCAATTCACTTCACTCATGAGTGCTGGGACAAAAGCAAAAGAAAGCAGCTCATAGTGGACAAGCATGAACATGATGCCTATCCTGTTTCCTTTTTTAGCTTTTCATCTTTTCCATCCTACAATCCCACCTCTCAATTGAACCCACTGTCTTAGATGCTAAGCAATTATAATCATTTGGAGATTGTCCATTTTTATATCATAGGCATCTCTCTCTCTCTCCCTCTCTCTCTCTCTCTCTCTCTCAAGTTGATGGTAGTTTCAAGTTTGAGTTCTGATGAAAATACAACTCCAACTAGTTCTGAAGCAAGTCATGGCATGGTAATTCAAATAGAGCGAGCAGAGAGAGACTATACCCTTATCATCTGTACTCCTGGCGGCGTCGGCGCAATACAATTGCACCTCTTTAGTGTGCTCTTGTTATGCACCGGCAAGGCACCCAAACCACAAGGGTGAGGACCACAGTAGAAGCAAGAATAGCAACAGCAGCAGCAACAGCAACAAGCAGTCCGGTGCAAGAAACAAAGATGGAGTCCTTGAAAAGACCGATGGTAATAATGAATCAGAAGATCAAGATAAGAGCAATGGTTGCAGCAACAGTAGTAGCAATGAGCCCCATGGACCTCTCACAGTACCCCATCCTCTCAAGAGTAATCTCAAGAAAACTATAAAGGTGGACAAGTCTCAACTGAGTAATGGGAAGAGGAAAGTTAGTTGGCCAGATGCCCATGGAAAGGATCTTGCTCATGTTCAAGAATTCGAGGCCAGGTACAAGTATTCCCCACACCTTTTTCTTTGCGCATCATGGATACATTTGGGTTGTAATTGTTTCAATCTGATGAAGACTCCAAACACTTTTAGGGGGAGTTTATTTGGTTTCTAATTCTAAACTCCTCATTGTGTTTGATGATGACTTGAGTTCAGGAAGTACAGTAACATATATCAAACAACCCCTTTAGATTTTGTTTGCAAAGTAGTTTCAAGATTTTGAGTTTCTCACCTGTTTCTCTTCTAACATCTTTCATTGTGAATATTTTAGTGTATCTGAGGAAGGGGAACTTGAGGGAGTGCAGAATTCTTGCATCTGTGCTATTCAATAAAAAAAGAAGAGGTTTAAGGTATGGTTCCTTTCCATAATTCCATCTCAATGTAATAACAGATGTTATATTTCTTTTTGCACGCACATAGATATGATGGGGTTTCAGACACAGTAGATTTTATTCAGATGTTGATGATTTCACCAAGTTTTCTTGTATATATAAAGCGTATGTGCTTTCAAAAGTGTCAATTGTCTATAAACTGTTACAGCTTTTTCAGTTATTACCGACAGAAATGATTTCTTTTTCTTTGGAGAGGGGTCATCCAGCTATCCTTCCAGGGGACATGAGAACAAAATTAGCAAGAATGTAAAGTGATTGGGGAGTTGGTAGAATTGTAATGGTCCAAACATGAAGATCTGATTCAAGCATTCACTTTCACATTGATCAATATTAACTAAGTTGAGTTGTGTTCCCTAGTGGCCACTCAGTCTAATAGGCTGAGCTCATAACAGGATGGAGTCTATGTAGTGATCACTGTTTTCCTGAAAAGTACACAAGAAATGGAGTAACAGAGGGCCCAGAGAACAAACACTTGGCATTTCATTGTTATTATTATACATGCATATTATATTAATAACCAAGACTTATCTGTTTGTAGTGGTTCTTATTGAGCATAGGAAGGATGAAATGACAACAAAAGTGGCTTTTTTGTTGAAACAATATAGAGTATTTTAGCTAGGTCTTGTTGGTATTTTTGAGTACTACCAACTTCATTTAAAGTCTAAGTACTATTGAGTATTTTAGAGGATGAGGCTCACTGATATTCTTTTGGTGTTGATAGTCAAGGCAACAAATGAGTAAGCATGGCTTTGTGCAGTGATGGAGACAGTTTGGTTGATGTTGGAAGTGAAATTCTCAGAAAAAAAGAAAAAAATTATTCATTATAAGCTTTAAAAACAATCCAACTGTAAACTTTTGCAGACCAATTCCAAAGCCCAGTCACTGAACATATTCTTTTGGCACAGCAATTTGTAATGGGGCAATACCCTTATCTAGTTAGACAAAGTACTTAAAGCATTAAATGGTCCTCTCAGTTTATCATATTGGATTTTGGTTGATGTTGGAAGATGGAATTCTGAGAAAACACTTCATCCATTATGGATTTATCAAGAATTTATCTGTAAACTTTTACAGACCAATTCCAAATCCTGGTCACTGAACACATATGGCTTTGAGACAGCAATTTGTAATGAAGCATTATCCTTATCTAGTTAGATCAGTACTTGAAACACTGAATGGTCTTTTTAGTTGCTCATATGGGTTTGAAACCATTCATTCAGCGACAGTACGATACCCCCACAAGAATAGGGTGTCAGTAGAAAAGGTCAGACTAAGAATGTAGTTTTCTCTTACACAAGGGTGAAGGGTGTAATATCCTGTACCTGTAGATCTTACACAACCAGAGAGTTCTCTCATCCAAACAAGTCAAAGACTTAGCTTTCCAATATACTATTTAATGCAGGATTAGGGTGGTGTTTGATAAAACTTAAGTCTTATAGCTGAAAAGCATAAAAGATCTTTTTTATAGATTTGATATCTGAAAACAGCAAAAGCTGTTTTCTGCTTTTTAGAGTCTCTGCAATATTAAAAAAGACGGGCATTTTAATCATTATAAGCCATCTGAAACATGTCTGAATGTGTTCTGTGCATGGGTCACCTCTTACCAAATCAGATCAGACTTATTTTCAATTTTGGGATTATGATTCAAATTTTAACACAAACGAGATCCTACCTTGGAAAAGCAAGTTCTCAGATATCACATCCCATTTGTGTTATCAAACGCCACCTAACTTAATTTGGTCCCAGAGGCAATTGTGGACTTATTTGGTTTATGTCCTTGGTTCTGTAATTTGTTTCAACTTTTATATACTTACATTTTATTCTTTGTATAACCCCCTCAAAAATTCCTTCTGTACTCTGTTTCTTACATTTTATAGATTTCTTCCCTAACACTTGTACTCATTCTCCACAAGGGTCTCCGTGTCCTCTGCCATGGGCCCCTATAGGGCCTAGTGGATTCCCACAAGAACAGCTAGCCCTAAAATTTACTCCATTTCTGTTATGAGGCCTTTCAGCAGAAAGGATGAACTCAGGGCATGAAAATTTGGAAATTTTTAAACTCCAAACATAGTTTCAGAATATTCATATTTTGCAGCATGTGTATCTGCAAATCCATCAAATTTAAATACTTAAGTACCTAATTGTTTCCTCTCCTCAAACAATCAGAGATCAAACTAACTGGTTATTCACTTGCAGGTGACAGTCATTTAGGTCCAATCTCAAACATCTCTCTGTGAAGATCTCTACTTGCAGGTGTGATACAGATCAATCTCAACCATGTAGAATCCTTTAGTTTTTTTTTTTTTTTTTCATCCAATTGAGAATTACATACAAGTTCATTCAGGCAAACAGCCATGTAATAGAAAATGAATGCATTTACTCTATTAAAGGCAATCAATCAGTTGAAACAACCAGAAGGCATGTGCAACAGCCAACAGTTTTGTTTTGACTGCCTGTTTGGGAGGGCTGAAACGCAGCGACTTCTATCTTTCGAAGGTGGGCCTCACACCAACAGCCTATAAGCTAGGTTTGGTGAAAAATCTGGAGAACCCAAATCAGCTGTCTGTTCAAAGCATTCCTCCAAAAGAAGCTTTGCAAATCCATTTGATAACGACTGAAGTAGCTAAAATGAATGACTTGTTGCCTTGTATTTTAGTGAATAAATTGTTCAAGGGGTTGTGAGCTCCTTAGTGACTAATAATCGACTAAAAGAGAAAGCAATAAGTCAGTCAGTTCAGCCATTTCAGCCTTTACAACTTGTTTGTATTTTGGCCACCAACCTCTGGTAGGGTAGTAGTCACTGGCCAGCTAGATGCTTGACTTAGATAATAAGCAGACTAAATGCGACTTATTCAAAGGAGGTCACATCACATGAATACCAACCAATGAGAAGGTAGGAAATTGGATTCACTCAAAAAATCAAGCATGGACCTTGTGAATCACCTAAGGGAGTGTTTAATTTATAGTGTGGCTGTAACTAGACCTATTCATGGGCCAGGTAGCCCGATGGTCCAGCCCGGCCTAGCCCACACCCCGGTCGGGCTTGGTCATGTAATTAGGCCCGCAGGCCTGACCTCGGGCCTAACACAGTAAGTCCGACTATGTTACAGGCCGAGCTCGGGATTTGTCAAAAAAACCCGGTTCGACCCGACTCAGCATTATGTATTTTATAAAATACATAATATGTATTTTATATATTATATAAATAATCTAATATTTATTGAAATATATATTTATAATTTAATATATACATTTTTTTATTTTTTTCTTTATAATCTCTCTCTCTCTATTCAGCCACTTCAGCAGTAGTAACAACATGGGATAAATCTGTAAATACAGAGTGAAAGCCCGGCCCGAACCCAGCCCGACCCGGCCCATGAACAGGTCTAGTTGTAACCCATTTTGCTTGGTTCCAGAACGCACCACATAAACATTCTTTTACGTTGTAAGATTTTTTGGGCTGAATTACAATGTGTTTTAGAGCTGAATGTATCGTAATATTTTCATCAAACCAAAATCTCGTGTTCTAGAACCCATCACACCTTGAAACACTCGTCGAACAATATTTGAAATATTAATTAAAATAATAATAATAATTTATGTATTTCAAATCTCAAGTCTTTGGATTACACCACATAACCACAATACAGAATGCTTGTTGTGGCAAGGTGCATTTTAAAAGATCATTTCAAACTAACCATGATCCATGATGGAGCCCACCAACTTGGGCTGCAAAATAAATCGAATCACATCGGATTCGAATTGATAAGAGCCAAATTCAAATATCTCCATTGATCCTATCGGATGGGAAAAATCAATCCATTTAGTTAACGGATTGAAACCATTAGTTGTGAAATATTGTGTTATATAAATAATATAATATATCATAAAATTTTCCATTACAATTCTAATCTGATCGGACATCCCATAAGATATTCGAATTCGAATCCAATCCAACGGATTCGGATCAATCCGATTCTACCGAATCCGATCCGAAATGTAACAATCATTAATTATTAGCATTCATGAACCAATCTGGCATCTGCCACTTTATCAATCATTACAGAAACAGTTAATAAATAAAAATATGATTTTAATACTGAAAAAGAATTACTTATCAATCTCGTGGTCGTGGGCTCTGACGAGAAGTATATATTATTTGCTCGATGCTCATTAATTATCATTGCCATGAATCCATTTTGAAATGACAACGGATTCATCCAAATGCTGTATACATACAACAAATTACTTTTGGTTTTCCATTTGGTTTCTAAAATCGCCTTAACATCAGCCTATTCTGGTCTAGACAATCTAAACGATCTGTCCTTGTTATGTGCCAAGTAAAGAAGAAAACCAATGGAAGTATCCAAGTTCCCCCAAGAAACAATTTCTTTGAATTCCCTTCCTAATTAATTTTACAATGACTCTCGGCAGCTTGTTTCATCTCCAGTTTTGCAACACCATATAAATCGAACTGAAGGGTAACAGGAAGCTACAGCTCAGAATTCATTCTAAAATGGGGGAGGGGATAAATGGGATTATGGGAATGATGAAGGGTCTAGGCTCCTCTTAAGAATTGCAGTCAAATGTGCACCCGTTTCCTGGCAACAGACAAAAGACAATTACTCCCCAGATTGGCAACCATGAACCAACCCACCAAGAAGCAAAGTCTTGACATGGCGCCCAACTCCACCAAGAACGGATCCGTTAGCTCATCCTTTTTACAGCTGCACTACTGCTTTTAATGATGGGCATCTCCCATCAACCTGCGTCCATGAAGGTTCCCCAGCCCAAACCAGACAGGTTCTTACAATTCAGGACAACCAGTAAAATACAACTGCCGTCATAATTCTGTACATTGATTATAATGCAAACAATTTGAAGAAATAATGTTTTGACTGCAATCAGCAGATTGCTTTGGGAGTGTAACATCCAGACTGAATTGAGACCAGAACCAAACTGCAATAAAGCACACCATTATATTGGATTCCCTTCACCCACTTTTGTAGGAAGGAACTCTAATATGGTGCAAAATGCAAACACACGTCAAATTCCAAATCCAACACATCATCTTCTTTTTTCTGCTTTTGATACCTCAAAGCACAGTTCTTCATGGGGTAGGTGCACCTGTGGACAATCTTTTTCATTCGGGGCAAATCTGAACAGTTATTCTGCAGAGTACTGAAACAATAACAGGGGGAAAATAACAATTTAGTCTATCATAAGTAATTGTAAAAGCAATTCCTTTGAGGTTAGTAGGTGATAAGCTTAAATTACCAGAACTATTGGCGGTTCTCATACTTGATCTTCATCTGGCCTGGACCTTGTGAACCTCCTACGCCTCCTTGGAACTGGAGATAAATCCTCACCCATGTCACTAGTCAGGTTCCAATCATCATCATCTTGCATACCAAACAGGTTCTCGCCCCACATGTTTCGACGACTGGAGAATGTTCCAGTTGAACGACGATGCCTAGTCAAAGACCTTGAAAGGCCCCTTGACTCAGAAACAGGTGACGTAATCATCTGTAGCAGAAAAAATCTAGTCAACCATATGCTATTGCCTCCTTCACCTGAGCTGCTTTCCCTGTCAATTGAGATCCCACCATCTCCATTCTCAATGACATAGTCTCCAACTACAATAGCACCTGGTATAGCTGAACGGATTGCACTGACAATATCTCCATATTCCCTCTGGTGTTCAAGGTGACGCCATGCCCGTTGCCTTGATGGGTCAATAACAGAAGGTCTTGTGGTTGGGTGAACCCTCCTAGCATGCCTACGAAGCTCCCTGTAATTACCAACGAAGGAGCATGCCTCCCGTGAGCAGCTTCTCTGTTTCAGATCAAGATATTGTCTAGCCTCCTTGACAATCTTCCAGCCTGAGACAGTTCCTCGGCAAAGGGGGCATTTCAAGTTCAAGCTTGGATTTGATATACTCTCCACTCCAAACTCTTCAAAAGCAATCCTCTCCCTGAATGTTCCAGGGCCACCAGTTTCTGTAATGTTGTCAACCTGTGTTTCCGAATACCTATCTGGTTCTTGGTTGTTATTATCTCCTAATGCATCCAATAATCCAGCTGGGGTTCCATTGTTGTTTTCATCTAAACTGAAGCCTTCATGAGTATCTTCAATGCCATTTGTCATTCTCAGATCTCCCAAGTTAGGTTCGGATGTATTACCATGTAAGGACCTCTGATCAGGTATTAAATTATCTGGGTTTTCAGTAAAAGATGATCTGGGTTGTGAGGGGCTGTTCCTATGTTCAATTCTCATCTTTTTAAAACGATCTAAGCAATTTGAGTGCCTGTAACTTGTGTCACAGATATAAGACCTGCAGCCCTTGTCATGTGAACTGCAGAGGAGGAGAACAGCATTATGTGGATGGTCCATGCAGATTGGGCACAAAGCCTCATCCCATTCCTTGTGCAAAGCAAGGATATCTGTGCCAGTGGAGGTGCTCCCTTTCATATCTGACATCTTGGGTCAACTGTATTAAGTTGTTTGAAACATTAAACTGGTCAGAATGCCAGTTGTTTCTCTTGAAACAAAGAAAACATGATCAGAGAATGAAATGATTATGGAGTAACCTTTTCACAGAAATATAGGGAGTTGTACCACATCAGTTATTGGTCAACAAGAATGCCAGGGAGAAAACTTGCATTCTCAACAAGCAAACAGGATCATCAGTCAACCCAATGGGGCTAACATGGTGAGAAGATGGGAAACAAGTTCCCAGCTAAGCTGCTTTCCAGCAAAAGAGTTGATAACATTCCACATCTCTAACAGTTATGATTATGAGAAGATATAGGGCACCAGTCTTACGTAAAAAGAATGGAGAATCATATGCTCCAGTTCCCATCCTCAATTATGTGGCTTGTGTGAGGTCAGACATTTGGAGACCTACCATTTCAGGATTATAAAGGTGGACTATGAGAATGAAATCAACAAAAGGAGGATTCATGTTCTCTACATGTTGACAAAAGGACCTTCACAATGGACCAAAGATAATGACCACTTGATCTACATGCCAGTTAAAAAAAACAACGACATCCTGGATTAAAATGTTATCATGACCCCCACCTTCATCATTATCATAATCATCAGTGAAGCCTTGTCCATACAACTTGGTATGTTGCCATATGACCTTAATCCAAAGCCTCAAATCAGGGAAAACCTACTGCTAATATGATGACCACTAACAAGTAATAACTTCTAATAATATTGAAGTCATCAGTTTGAAGTGTTTATGGATGTATGGGTGGAAGACAATTGGAAGCACAGTAATGCAATTAGGAACTCCATTTTTCTTTTTGTGGAGTATCTTGCACCAACATCATAGATATACATGGACAGCAAATCCCTGAGAAATTAAGATCTCAAATGGACTTTCTGGAAAAGGCATTGGCAACATAAATTGCTCTGGAGGATATGACTGAAAATCAATTCTATATAAATATCTAGAAAAGCCCCAAACTTTACCAAGGATGTTTGGATAGAAGATCTCCAAGATTTCTTACCCTTTGTCATAGAAATTTCACCTTTCACTGCTAATGCGGAATTTGAGTACCCTTCACCAACCACCAATGTATTAGAAGACAACAGCAAAGGTGAGGCAGTTGGGCCTAAAGAGGCAAGGATTAAGAAAGCCTTGATGCATATCAAAGCATAAGCCTATGAAATCTTTCAAGAAAACATGGAAAGATTTATAAATCATAAAACAACGTAAAAAATAAGCACTTCAAAAAAAAAACATAAAAAAAGAAGCTAATAATTAAACTGATAATGTAATCCTGCCAATCCACTACACAGCTTCTCAGTTTTTGTAAACCCTTCAATTTCTATGCTATACTTCAGTGGAGCTCTCTACAAGACCCATCTTGTCCTTCATTGTCATCAACAAGATTATTAAAAAACAGAAAAAACTTACATTTCTCATCTACTAATGTACACACCTTCAGTAACAATACTTTATTGAAAATTTTCAATATGATTATTGGCTGAAACCATTTCTTATGACACCTTTTGATCTTCAATCAAATTAAAAATAAAATAAAATAATGGGTCAACACAGAAATCTTCAACAATCAATCTAGCAAATACTGATGCTAGAAATCTAGAACACAAACAAAAACTAACATTTCTTTTATGGTAGACCATGAAGGACTTGCAAGATCATTTCAAACCAATATTACAAAGAAAGCAAATAAATTGAAGGAAAGAGAGATTGAAATTTGGTAGATTAATAAAGAAAGAATAACCACATCCCACAGATTTAAGGTTTCTCTAGAGTTTAGAATCAATTGCAAGAAACCCAATTTGATCAGAGGAGAACAATTGAGAAGTCAATTGCGGGTTTCACAAGCCTTCTATCATGTAAAGAGAAGAAAAGAGAGAACTAGTTTATAGCTCCTGAAGTCTGTGCTACGGGCATCCTTTGACCTCAATCAAAAGGGCCACCATCAAAACATTAATTTATGAAGTAACAGTTCATAAGTCTAAAACTAACCATACTTCTAGTTTCATCATGATTAATGCAACAACAACAGCCCTAGCACTTTTTTCAACTGAGTTATAATCCGACTATTGAAAGTATTCATTTACTCTGGCATAACTGAGGTACCCACAAACTCTAAGCTAAGTAGGTAATACCTGAAAAATGTGCCCATGAGTATAACCCTAGGATCTAGATCGTACTCATTCTACAAACCCAATAAAAATCACCACTTGAAAATTCCTCTCCACTGCTCAGTTTTACTAAGCATTTGCACCCAAGAAACAACAATATAGTAAGTAGATAGATAGGTTGATAGCAAACCCTCTAGTTTATTTGTTGAATGCCTTGCAGCGTTCATAACTTCGAAGGACATGAACAAATCCTCCATAGTGAGGCGTACACTCCAGAATCCAGATATCTACACAACTTAAAGTGATGTTGCAAGTCCTACAGGCCCTCACCATAATCTCTTATCCAACTAATCTTCATCTAAGAGTGACCTTCAATCTCCACCAAGAGAAACCCTAAATAATGCCTCAACCTTAGTCCCTGAAGAATTGCCAATATTTCTAAAACTTGTTCTTCTACAAGCTCCTTTTCATAATGCAACGAAAAGAAAAATGTGCTAAAGGAATTAATAGTCCATAAAAAATTGGCATACTAAAACAAGGCATCATTACTAAAATCTGATCATACCCAAGAAAAGAATCACTGCATCCAGAAAACACAAGGGAACAACTACAAGTCTGGAATGCAAGAATAACTGTAAGCAGAAAGCAGAAGTCTCTCCACCACCAGGAACACTGTTTTCATTGTACATCAATTACTTTTCACCCATCAAATGCCCAATGTTGGAACTTGACTGGTAGTAGTTTTTTTTTTTTTTGTAAATTTGGAATAAAGGCTGCACATTGAACTCCTACTCATGGCAACAAATTTCCTAACTTATTAAAGGCAGGTTTCTTAAAAGCATTCCCCAATGAAAAGATGATAAAATTACTTCATCTTACCCAATTAATCAAGACATACTACTTCCAGCTGACAATTTTTTTTTTCCAACCACTTGCACAAATGCATGAGATGCACATCTTTGACTTACTGCAAAAATCTTGGCAGCACCAAATGCACGTATTGAAAGAATGACAGGCATTTAAACATCCCATTTGCTTCAAATGGGAACCAAGTTGTGGAAAGAAGAATTAGCATGATTAAGATACCATTACATGGTTTAATGGTAAAATCTTGGGATGGCAAGTGTAAGAAAGCAGGTTCAAGTCTGAGAGCAGTCACTTTATGCTAAAAATACAAAGGTTAGGACCGTAGACAGTCTACCCCTCCCAAGACCCCAGATAGCTGCAACCAACAATGGGTAATGGCCTTTTAAGGTAACATAGGGAGATGATTCTTTGCAGGAAAAAAATAAAAAATTAATCAGTTTACTCAACAGAAAATTTAAAAAGAAAAATAACAACTAAAGAACAAAAGTTTTGGCATATTGACATATGAGGGAGACAGTCAGTTCATAGCAAGCCAAGCCAAATTTGAATTAACACAAAAGAGACATGGTTGGATATTAAAATACAATGCCGAATTTCTTCAACAACACCAATACTCACCCAGAGATTGAACTCTGAACTTTATTCCCTTACTTGTAGCTTCTGAATCTTTACGACAATAATCAGCTTTTATATGTGATAAAGATGGAAATCTTGTTGGAGTAAATTACATACAAGCCAATCTTCAAATAGTGCTCCAAAGAATGTAAGAAATAATCCAGTCCTAGAAATCTTGAAGGAATTACAGCCTTTTGACTAAAGCATTAAGCACTATTTCACGAGCCGCACAGGAATGAGTCCTAAGACCTGCACTTACGTGGTGGAATAAAGATGACTGTCATATACATACCACCAAATGCTGAATACAAAAGGAAAAACAGGAATACACCTTACGCATATTGTCTCAAAACAGAATGTAGCAACAAAAGAAATAATTCAGAGCCCCTTTATGCATAAATTCAAAAGCCACCAATGCATAAAATGGGCATTACGAAATCAAATTAAGCACCCATTTGGAAAGCATAGTTTACCATCAGATCAAGGAGAAACTAATCTATTATGACATGTTGATAAGAAAGATACTCAAAGAAATGGAGTATCTTCATACTTCATATAACACATCTATCGCCTGGAAAATCCTAAATATGGTAAAGATAAAGCATCCAAAACCCAATCGCTAAATTATCACAGATGCACCAGTTTCAATAATTTCATTTCACGCAAAAGATTATAAACAGCCATTAAAAACCAGAAATAAAAAGATCCTAAAGAACCATTACCACCCGTAAATAAATTTAAGAATTATTTACCTTTTAGCTAGAATGAGAATTACAAATTAAATGGGAAAAAAAGTAGAAACCCCTTCTTGAGAAAGATTTGAAATCGGGCACCTTGAGGCAGGATAATCAGCTAACCCTTAAAAGGATGAATCTTTAGAACCCCAGCAAGATACCATTTCCTTGAACCCAACAAAAAAGATTCCAAATCCAAATCTAAACCCTAAGTTTAAACAGATACCCAACAATTCTATACGGAAAAGAAATCAAAAATTTGCAGGCTCTCAAGGATCCTGCGTTTATCCAGGGAAAAGAAAAGAAGAGAAAAAACCATAGAGATGGCAGATCAAAATAGAAAAAGAATCCATTGTTGGCAAAATCAGGAGGTATAGAAACAAAATATATCAACAGAGATGCATACGATTAGCAAGATGAATCAACCAATAAATTCAATTGACCAGTTAAGTCCTTGCAACCCAAAAAAAAATCTGGAGATTGAAGAAGAAAAGTAGAAAAAGGTACGGGTTTTACAGTATTGGAATCGGTGGTGCAGAATCCTTCCCCCTTGGTTTTTGATGGGTTTTTTGTCGTGTTCATGTATATTTTGTAATTTTCTTTCTTTTTTTTAATATGAAAAAATAAATGGTGGTCTTCTTCCTCTGTTCTTCTCTTCTGGTTCTTGGGTTCTGGTTGGGGAAGGATGAAAACAAAAAGAAAAATGTGAAATGAAGATCACATCCACATCTCAAAGACTTTATATATATTCCCATGCTTAGTTGCCCACCCACATCCACATGTGAGATGCAGAGAAACCTGAAAATTAAAAAGAAAAAAAAAAAAAGAGAGAGAGAGAGAGAGAACAAGCACAACCGTTCGGGGCGTTCGGGTTTTTGAGTGACCCGTTAAAAACCCGATTCTTGACACTCTAAGCTTTTCATTCCCATGTTAAACCCGATCCGGCCCGTGTTAAATCCAATTCGTAATCAGAATGGAATGGAAATCGGCTGGAATGGATTGATTGGATTCTCATTCCTAAGGGAGTAGGAGGGTGGCCATTCCTTCAAATGAGAAAATACCATTTCCTAGGAATAGGAATCATATTCCAATTTCACCCAATTAAGGATTTCAATTCCAATTACAAACTCCTATTTCTATGGACCCTAAAATATTGGTATGATAGTCAAGGCCATGCACGGGCTGTGTATTAATATAAAATTAATTATTTAAATTAATTTAACAATAAATTCAATTTTTGAATATATTAATTATTTGTTAGTAATAATTAAATTTTGATTACTTTTTAATTAATTTTAATATATTTATTTTTCAATAAAATCAAATTTATTCAGTTTTTTTTGTTATTGATATATAAACTTATAAATTGCTGAAAATCTCCCTAAAATTTTTTACCATTATTGAAACTAGGGTTATTCACAAACATTGCCAAACCGACCAAACTAGCCCAACCCAACCCGATTTAGTCGTTTTTTTTCACCATCGATCGGCTTTTCGGGTTGTGAAGAGGGATAAATCGATAATTTAGTTCAGTTTTAGTTTTCATAAACCGAGTTAGTTTCTGATTTCCTAGTCTTTCCTTAACTAGGTAATCCCTATCCTAGTTTTTTTTCTTTCTAGTTAGTTACTTATTTTTAACATTAAAGAACAATAAAAAATTAGTTAAATGGGAATTACTTTTGTCTTTAGGATTGTTTTCCTTTTTTAGAGTAGGAAATTTTACACTAAAATAGGGCTATTCACAAACAATGCCAAACTGACCCTTCATGTTCGAGTTAGTTTTGCTTAATGGCACGGTGGTTCCGGTTTGCTCTTTAAGTAACCCAACCAGGTCGGGGCATTGAAAAAAAACTATTAAGCCAATCCAACCCGACCTGTAAACAACCCTAGCTGAAACCTCTCCTAAAGTCTGATAATTACAATCACCTCCCTTGAACTTTAYAGTTGCAAGTAGACCCCCTTTATTAGAATCCATTAACAAAGGCACGAAAAATGTCCAAAATACCCATACAATTACTATTTAGACTATTCAGGCTGGTTTATATAATAAAAAAATAATAATACAAAAAAAAAGAGAATTTAAAGTTGTAACTTTACCTTTGAGTGATTGATACGATGGGCAAAATTGGAAAATAGGTCAATTTCAGAAAAGATATCATAAGAGTTTGGGCTAGCGATTAATGTGAAGAGAATTTTCGAAAAATAAACACTTTGATGAAAAATAATTACTTGAATATTTTGAATATTTTCATGATTATTTTTAGAGGGTTTACTAAAGGGGGTCTACTTGCAATTTTGTCAAAACGTTCGGAAGAGATGATTACAATTATCAAACTTCAACAGAAATTTCAACAACTACAAACTTCAGGGGGGTTTTAGTAATTTGTCCTTAGATATTATTATTTCAAATTTTAAATAGAGTTTTCAATTAATACAAATCAATTTTAAAATTAATAATATTATTACTTGTAAATGGAATTTAATGTTATAGTTTTAAATGAATTGTTCTGATTCGGTTCTGAATTGGGCTAAATACATTGAATGGATCAAAGTATGGCAGGGTAAAAGAAATTTAGATCAGCTGAACGTGGAAACCAATGATAATGCCACACGTCAGTGAGAAATTAAATGATGGTGGGTCCCAATGTGAAAAATTATCATTGGTTATATAGCCCACTAAATTAATCCTTACTCCAACAAAAACGACCCGTGTAGGGCATGAGTGGTTGAAACCCATGGATCAAACCGAACCCATAGTATGGGACTCGCATAAACCCGATAATTACAATTTATGTACTATATGGTTGCACGAAAATGGATCGCAAAAAAAAACCCGATTAGACCGTCTGGTTGGCGTGCAGGTGAAGAAGACGGTCCAAAACCAACAACGGTTTGAATCTGAAATTGGCCGATGTTTGTTCTAAAAAATTATTCCATACGCTTTCTAAAAACCCAACAGTTTCGTGCACGGAAATGATCAAAACGATGACGGTATTAACTTTATTTGTGAGATTAAAAATGCATTAAAAAATAAAACAGAATGAATTTAATTAATAATGATTTGGTACAAAATTCTTTTCAACCAGTAGATAGGTAAAAGGATAAGTTTGGGAGTGCTTAAAAATAAGTGATTATTGGAATAAATACTTATTTTAGGCTCTAATCACACCAATTAACATTTATTTGCATTTGAAAAATAGGTTCAAATAAATATTTATTTAAAGTACTTATTGATCAATAAGTATTTATTCTATGTCATTTTTCTTTTTCTTTTTTTTTTTTTATGAATAACAAGAGATGCTACACAAGCCGGAAGTAACACCCCCCAAAACAGGAAATTGGTCCACCATGTCATTTTGAAAATATCTATACTATCCGTGTTTGAAATAAATGATTTTTTCATTAAGCATTCTCAAATTAGACAAAGTGTGAAAACAATTAAAAACTAATCTGTTGCATCCTTGACCAAATTTCTACAAACCGATTTAGGGGTGATATTGCTTCAGCTGGTGAGCTCAACAGACCGAGGACTTCTAGCAATTTGGAAGTACAAAGATGATCAAGGCCCCAAGGTGGATTTTCAAGGAGTTCTCAAATACTCAAAGTTAGTAACCATTGTAACTTTGTAAGTGATGGTCGGCTAGGTTGGCTTTGRAAAAGAGCTAAGTAGGCTATGTGAGTTAAGAGTTATGTTCGGGTCATGGTTGAGCTGGTCCTGAGAGACATGTGGCCGCTCAATCATCACTTGGCCACGTTGGTATAGCTCGATTGATCTATGCTATTATTGTGACCCCCCCTCATCTTATCCTTTCAGCTACATCAGCTACACGTCACACGGATGAACACAACTACGGATAAAGAGGAATAAGGAAGACGACTCCGCTAGGGAATAGGATTCTATCCTGAATACCTCGGTGGCTAACCTCATTCCGACAACCCCAGAAACCTAATCCGACCAGGACATGGATCTTCGGCTATAAAAAGGTACTCCATGCTCAAGGTAAGGGACCCAACTTCTGATACCAGTACTGCTACATAGCTCGGACCAGCATCCTTATAAGCTTGGCCTGATCATCTACCACCTCCTACTGACTTGAGCATCGGAGTACTTACCTGGGGATAACTCCTCGGGCATCTGACTTCTCCTTTCTTGATCATAGGTCTTGAAACGCAGCCTCATCCTTGTAGCTCAGCCCCGCCCTGCCATCAAGGACTATCTGGTTGCTCTCTCCAGTTTGTGCACCACCTTGGATTAAGCAACATCAGATTGGCACCGTCTGTGACAAACGCGCAAAAAGCCTTTCTCGAAAATCCTTCCTTCCTCACCGCGCAATCAAGAAAGCGATCAAGATGCCCAAGAACCAACCCAAATGATCAATAGGCCGATCCCCACCTCGGGAGTCTCGGCACTATAGCCCTCCGCATCAAGAAATTCCACAGCCTCTAGCCACGGTCGATCCTGTGCAGTTCCGAGCAATGCAAGAAAAGGTAGATAAGATCTTTGAAATGATGCAGAACCAAGGATCCGTGACACTGCCCAGTAAGACTGTCCCCCCTTATGCCCTGACGCGTATGAAGGATGATCAGTGCCTTGAGAACCCCAAAGCGCGCCGAGAAAACAAGGGTGTAGCGCGATCCAACCAGGAAAAGCAAAATACAACAAGAAGGTCGGCCCCCTCCATCCGCTCTCACAGTAGGACGCACCAAACCACACGGATCCCCGCCAGGGAAAGGCTCGACAAATGAACATCACCTCACGTGGTCTCCATTGCTGAATCCAGCTCCGTGAAAGACCGCACTACGCGCCCCAAGATGGAAAGGGCAACGCACACCGCAGTCCCGGACCATAGGGATAGTGAGATTCAGGAACTTCAGTAGCACTTGGAAGATCTAGAGCGCAGCCAAGGCTAGATAAGCACAACGCCGGTTGTAGATCAGCCTGCGCAACCAGCTGCACCCACTGCCAAGGAACCACCTTTCACCTAGGAGATTGTGGACTAGGTACCTCCCACAAGATGGCGGGTACCTCAGCTTGACAAGTACGACGGAAACACTGATCCCATCGACCACATCGAGGCACTGAAGGCTCACTTAATGTTGCACAAATCTTTAGAGGGCCTGATGTGCAAAGCCTTGGTGGCCACCCTTATAGGTCCAGCCCTAACCTGGTATTCCTCTTTGCCTCCACGCTCAATAGCGTCATGGGAGCAGTTGGAAACTCAACTCTGTGCACAATTCACAACAAGTCAAAAGCATTGGAAGACCTCGGCTAGCCTTATGCAGGTACGACATAGGAAAAACGAACCTCTTAGTGACTACCTGGCGAGATTCAACAAAGGGGCACTACAGGTTAGAAACCCGAACCAGTCCGTGGCTGTCACCGCTATTCAACACGGCCTCTGCCCATCGCCATTCAACTTCTCCATCTCCAAGAACCCTCGCAAACCCTGGCTGCACTGATGAGCCACGCGTAGAAGTATATCAACGCAAAAGAAGTGCAGACACAGTTGTGGGACAAGGAAGAGAGGCCCGAAAAGAAGAGGAGAGATACTGAGGAGTGAAAGTCAGAAAGATCAGACTAGGACCATAAGAGACAAGACCGCCGACCCAACCATAGACCATAGGCACCCCTGCCGACCTATCGGAACTTCACGTCACTCAATATGCCACGATCTGAAGTCTTGATGCAAATCCATGACCACAACTACGTTCGTTGGCCCGAGAAGATGAAAACGCAAAGCAACAAAAGGAACCACGATAAGTATTGCGAGTTCCATAGAGATCATGGCCATGACACAAAGAACTACTTTGACCTGCGTAACCACATTGAAGACCTAATCAGGAGTGGATACCTCGGCTCATTCGTTGATAAGAGCGAGAAGCTGGCATAGGAGGAACAATGCACGGAGAATGCTCGACCACCGCCCTGAGCCCCCTACTGGTGTGATCCACGTCATATCAGGAGGAATCGCCGCAAGAGGGGAGAGTAGCTCGGGAAGCAAGAAGTATGCATGACTATGCGAGATCGACAACCGGGGGCACAAGAAGAAGCGCGGCCAGTCCATTACATTCACTGACGATGATCTCCGGGGGGTTCAGACCCCGCATGACGATGCCTTGGTGATCACAGCCGAGGTTGCCAACTTCGAGATAAGGCGGATCCAAGTTGATACAAGTAGTTCTGCCAAAGAGCGCCTCACCCCCGTCAACACTCCCCTGATGGGCTTCTCTAGGGAGTCCCTCCTGCCCATTGGGAGAATAACCCTTCCCCTATTGATCGGAGACAGTGACATTACTACGACGACCATGGTGGACTTCATTGTGGTTCGTTGCCCCTTTTCGTACAACACCATCCTCAGTAGGCTGACCCTTAATTCTCTATAGGCTATGGTCTCCACATTCCACCTTGCCATGAAGTTCCCCACTGAATTGGCATAGGGGTAGCGCGTGGGGACCAAAGAACTACACGACAGTGCTATTTGCTCTCCTGCTAAGGACCACACCCAACTGCGAAAACATTAATGGTAGAAGCTTATGATCTAAGGGATGAGGTGAGGGGCACAACGCGGCCAACCTGTCGAAGACCTCATCCAGGTGCCGCTCAACGAAGAAGACCCCGAGAGCACAGTCCAGGTTGGCTCTCTCCTAGATAGACTTGTTCATGGGCCGGGACGGGCTGGGCTCAGGCCGGGCTTTTACAGTGTATTAACAAATTTTTCTAAGGCCCGAGCCCGAGCCCAAGCCCGGCCCGACCATTGGGCCTACAACTTGGGCCCGAGCCCGGCCCTCATAAAAAGCTCGAAGCCCGAGCCTGGGCCCGGGCCCGAAATTTAGCCTATACTATTACTATTATTAATGTTGAAGCGGCTGAATAGGGAGAGAGAGATTGAAATTATAAAGAAAATAATAAAATATGTATATATATATTAAATTATATATATATTTTAATAAATATTATATTATTTATATATTTTATATAATATATAAAATACATATTATATATTTTATAAAATATATAATACTGAGTCGGGCCGGGCTTTTTTGACAAATCCTGAGCCCGGCCCGAGGTCAGGCCCGCGGGCCTAATTATATGACCAAGCCCGGAAGGGGTGCGGGCCAGGCCATCGGGCTACCCGGCCCATGAACAGGTCTACTCTTAGATGACTGCCTCTGGGAAGAGCTTGTGTAGCTGCTGAGGGACCATGCCAACGTGTTCGCCTAGTCGGCGGCGGATATGCTGGGAATCGACCCCAAAGTCATCACACACCACTTGAACGCCGACCCCTACTACTGACCTATCAAGTAGAAGAAAAGGAGCTTTGCAATAGAATGGTGGCAAGTGATCGCAAATGAAGTGCAAAAGTTGCTCGACGCCGGCTTCATTCGGGAAGTCAAATACCTCGATTGGCTGGCCAATGTGGTAATGGTGAAGAAAGACAATGGGAAGTGGAGGATATGCATCGACTTCACTGACCTAAACAAAGCTTGCCCCAAAGACAACTTTCCTCTACCAAGGATCGACCAATTCATTGACGCAACGGCAAGCCATGAACTCCTGAGCTTTATGGATGCCTTCTCAGGGTACAATCAGATCCGAATGCACCCCAACGACCAGAAGAAAACAACTTTCATCACTGACTGCGACTTATATTGCTACAAAGTGATGCCCTTTGGCCTCAAGAACGTCGGTGCCACTTACCAACGGCTGGTGAATGAGGTGTTCAAGAATCAGCTCGAACGAAACGTAGAAGCATACATCGGCGACATGCTAGTGAAGAGCATAAAGGCCGAGCATCACCTTATTGACCTAAAAGAAGTCTTTGGTACCCTTAGGAAGTATAAGATGAAGCTAAACCCAACCAAATGCACTTTCGGGGTTGGCTCAGGTAAATTCCGGGGGTTCATGGTGACACAAAGGTGGATTGAGGCGAATCCAGAGAAAATACAGGCCATCCTCGACATGCAATCGCCCTGAACTCACAAAGATGTACAATGACTCACCGATAGAGTAGCTGCCCTTAGCAGGTTCATGTTCAAATCCGCGGACCGGTGTTTGCCCTTCTTTAAAGCCCTTAAGAGACAAAAGGACTTCCAATGGACCAAGGAATGCGAACGATCCTTTCAAGAACTAAAGCGGTACGTAAGCTCGCTGTCTCTCCTCACCAAACTAAGCCCAAGGGATGAGCTATTGCTCTACCTCTCGGCCGGGGATGAGGTCGTCAGCTCAGTACTAGTTAGGGAGGAAGACAGGGTACAAAGGCCGATCTACTACACCAGCAAAGTCTTTAGTGGCGCGAAAACCTGGTACTCCAACTTGGAGAAAATGGCTCTAGCTTTGGTCACCTCGGCCAGAAAGCTTAGGCCATACTTTTAGGCCCACAGTATTCGAGTGCTCACCGACCAGCCACTCAAACAACTTCTCCAAAGGCCAGAAGCATTTGGCCGCTTGATCAAATGGAGCGTAGAGCTAAGTGAGACACGAACGCCTAGTGAGCTCGGAGAATAGAAGCCTTCAGTGATTCTTAGTTGGTAGTCAACCAGATCAATAGACAGTTTGAGACATGAACACCCACAATGGCAAGTTATCTACAGAAGGTGCAAGAGCTCATCCATCGACTTAAGCACTTGAACATCCAGCAGATTCCTCGAGCCAAGAACATACGATTTGATGCGCTATCCAAGTTAGCTAGCTCTTTGAAAACTGACCTCGACAAGACAGCTCGGTTGGACACATTGGCCCAACCGAGCATCGCACCGATAGCTCTGCTCTTCCTCCCAGTACAACACAGCCCGTCCTGGATGGACCCCATCGCACAATACCTCTAAGAAGGTACACTCCCAAAAGATCGAACAGAAGCGAAGAGACTCCAGCATAGGTCAGCTCAGTACTGCCTTATCCAAGGTCAGCTCTACTGTCGCTCACACACTCTCCCCTACCTGAAATGCCTCTCCCCATCTGAAGTAGACTACGTCCTCAGGGAGATCCACGAAGGTATCTACGGAGACCATYCTAGCACACGCACCCTAGCACACAAGGCACTCCGGCAAGGGTACTTCTGGCCGACGATGAAGCAAGATGCAGCCCAATTAGTTTGGAAATACGACAGTTGTCAACGACACTTCAATCTCCATCACCAGCCTACAGTCCCCCTGAAGCCGATCACCAGCCCATGCCCATTCACACAATGAGGGATGGACATCCTTGGCTCCTTCCCCATCGCAGTTGCTCAAAAAAAGTTCCTCCTGGTGGCGATAGATTATTTCACCAAATGGGTGGAAGCTAAAAGTCTAGCACACATTACTACGCACAATGCCTGGAACTTTTTCTAACAAAGTATTGTCTGTCGATTTGGTATTTCGCGCATACTCATCATAGACAACAAGACATAGTTCACCGACCGAAAGTTCGAGGGCCTCTGCTCCGACCTGAAGATCGATCATCGAACCACTGTTGTACACTGACCTCAGAGCAATGGGTAGACCAAGGTAACCAACCGAACCTTATTTCACGGCCTGAAGACTCGRTTAGACTAGGCCAAGGGGAGGTGGGTTGAGGAACTACCGATCATACTTTGGGCATACAAGACTACTCTGTGGACAACCCCCAGAGAGACACCCTTCAGCCTGACCTACGGAGCCAAAGCTATGGTACCTGTAGAGATTGGCTCTCCAACCCTCTAGACTAAGCTCTTCAATGAAGACCAAAACGACGAGGACCTTTGCACAAAGTTAGACCTGATCAAAGAAGCCTGGGACCGAGCACATGTCAAGATAGTAGCACAGCAACAGAGGATGGAAAAATACTACGACACCAAAGTTAGAAGACGTGAGTTCAAGACAGGTGACCTCATCCTCCGCAAAGTCATAGTGGCCGCGCTTGGAGAGGGCAAGCTCAGACCAAATTGGGAAGGGCCATATAGAGTCACCAAAGTTCTTGGTCCGGGCACCTATAGGCTCGAAGACCTTGATGGCTGACCAATATTGAGGAGTTAGAACATAGGAAACCTTCGAATGTACTATCAATGATTCGATGATAGTAAAGAGCACCTTGTTCAAGCAAAGTGTTGATTGCCCGACACACCACACGCATGCACACCACACAACACACACACACACACACACCACTGCATGAGCACCGCRCTGCACGATTGAGCTACAAAACTGGGCTACATGATCGAGCTGCAAAACTGAGCTACACGACTGCGCTACGCGACCACACAACATATGTGTAGCTCGGTACAACTCACCGACTCGGCTGGCCTCTGAATGGTCTGAGCCCACAATGTATAGCTTGATAGCATATTTCCGACCAACCTGACTCAGTTGACCTCCGAACGGCCTGAGCCCACAATGTATAGCTCGACAGCGTATTGCCGACCAACCTGACTCGGCTGACCTCCAAACAGCTCGAGCCAACAATGCATAGCTTAGCAGTGTATTGCCGACCAACTTGACTTGGCTACCCACGACCTGAGCCTAAAGCGGAGAAGAATGCCCCTGCCCATCAAGGCTTGAGGACAATCAATCAAACTCCGCTCACCTACTAACTCTCGGCTAGCCCTCGAAGGGCCCCAAAGGCTCCCGAGACTGGAAACTGAGCATCCCAAAGATGAGAGCTCGGAATACACTCCCGCTTCACCAGTCAGAGGTTGAAGTCGGCCAATTCAAACCTTGGCCAAGACAAGGCCGAGGAACCCAAAGAATAAAAAAGAAAAAAAAAATGATTGTACACAAGTTTAGAGCCAAAAAATTTCATTAAGTTAAATAGCCAGTATAGTAGGTGAAAGCTTGGCATACCAAGCCATTACAAGAACAAAAAAAAAAGAGAAAGGAACCTGCAACAGTTCAATCCGCGGAAGGGAGATTCGTAGCCTCGTCACTACCATCTTCATCATCATCGTCGCCTCCACCCTCCTCATCAACAAGTTCATCCGAGGTTGGGGATGTTTCGATGTCGTAGGCCTCCCAAGTCTGCGCAACATTAGCTAGCGTGGGACAGTGAAGTAGTGCTCTCCGTTGGAAGACGTTGAAACCAGCCTCGAAGGAAGCCGAAGCATACTGATCAATGTCCTACCGAAGCTCTACTGAGCCCTTGTACCACACCACTGCTTCCTCGGTGACCTCTTGCTTCAGTCGTTCCCTTTCTGCCCTCAGTTTGGTGATCTCGTGCTTCAAGCCACAGACCAACTCCACTTGCACAACCAACCGAGCCTTCTGCTCGGCCACCTCCTTCTCCAATGCAGCAGTTCTCTCCCCAGCCGCCTGAAGCTCGGCCAATTTTTCCTTCAGCTGCAGGTACTCAGAATGCTCCTTCTCGTACCATCGCCACAACTCACGAAGGCGATCAACTACAACAATGTCTGAGCATACGTTCTATGGACACAAGAAACATTGTTAGTATGAGGAAACATACTAAAAACAACGAAGGCACTTAAGTACAAACTTACCTGAGCCATAGTTCGAATGAGTGAGCACTCTAAGGTGCTGCTCCCGATATCCCCATCCTCTTCGGTGATATAGGCCGTCATCATCCCGCAGAGCAACTGCTCGGGAACCCTAGGGGTCTCCAGCTCGTCCCGGTTGCGGATCGTTCAGCGTGGCACATGAATATCGGAGTTACTGCTCCCCACCTCAACTCGCGAAGGGAAGGCAGCCTGATGAGCTTCCCCAACATCCACAACCACAACATCTTCGTTGTCATTCCCCTACTTCCAAGCCCTTTTCTGGCGATGAGACACCCTCTCGGAAGACCTCGGAGGAGGAACTACCTCGAGACGAACCTGCGATGCCACGCCAGCCCAGTTTTGCCTTTGGCAGTTCTCCTTCATCTGACGTACGATTTCCTCTTCACTTTCCATTTCTACACCTGCACCGCAAAAGCATGATAATAAGTACAAGATCATATAAGAAAAGAAAGTACAGGAAAATAAAACAACAAAAAGGACAGACCGGCCACCCTACGCATCAGCCCACCGAGCATCAACATCTCCGAGCATGTATACACAGCTACGTCTATCTCGTGGATCTTGCTCAGAGCCGACCTTTCCTCCCAAGTAAGTGCATACCATTGAGGTTGGGGCACTCTTGTTCTTGGCTTTTGTAGCGAGGCCGGAAGGGGAGGTCCTCGGGACAGTGCACAAAGAAGAAAGTTTCCTTCTAGTGCTTCATAGAAGAGGGGGCCCCGACCAGCGCTCTGATGTTCTTCCTAGTCGAGAAGTAGTAGTAGCTCTATTGACGATCTTTGAGCTAAAGAAGGAAGCCCACCATACCCAGGGTCAACTCGATATCACGAACGGCGCAATAGGACAGAAGGCTGACCAAAAACCTAAAGGAGTTCAGCATCAGCTGCACCGACAGTACTCGATACCATGCAAGTACCTCGGCAACCCCTTCGTTCAGAGGAAACCTCAGCTCGACTTCTAGACTGTTCTTGTACACACAAATTTCACCGAGCCTAGCATCAGTTACCATCTCACCATGCTGCAGGCACCTCATTCGGAATTCCTCGGGGATGTCGTACATAGCTTAGATCTGAGCCATGTCCTTGAGGTTCAACATGCAGGGTGTGGTCCTAAACCGGCGACTAGCCCGCAAGGGAAGCTCAGCTTCTACCCTAGAGGGACCAACCTCAGCCTCCTCAACCTTAGCATCCTCGAAAGCCCTAACCTCAGACTCATAATCAGACTCACTAGAACTAGAAGAGCTAGAAGTGGAAGAAGAATGGGAAGATGAGGAAGATATCTTACTGAGTTTGAAGCCGAGGAATAAAAACAAAATGCCAAGCAATGCAAACAACACCCTATTGAGCTATCCAAGCAACTCCTCTTGCAAATGGCAAAGGGGAAATGCCCGTCCATCCTTTCTTATAACCCACAGGAACACGAATCGATGCCAGATCTACGGTGAGGATCAAGTGCCGCCTAACAAAGCTTAGGAAAACCAATTGACGTGACTATTACCGCATGCGCAAGGCCT